GGAAGAGCTGGTGTCATAGGACTTGGCAGAAGACTGTGAAAATAAGCAACAAGATTAACATCAAGACAATAAAGAGCCACGTTGTATGGCACAGTATGTTAAAAGGATTAAATTCATTGAGTAGATCCAACACAGTCCTGGAGACATCCATGTGGACCAGGACCTCATTTCTATAGTTTTGTACAGTCGTAGTCTGTTTATGAATTTGTCTTAAATCCAAACTTATATTTGTGTGATGCCAAATACATTGAAGGGGATTTGAACCTTTAATCCACTCCCAATCAGGAGTGTTATATGGCAATGCCATTACACAGATACGGGAAAATAAGGCATTGAATATCTTGTCTGTATTTAAAGGCCTTGACCTGATTTCCTAGGCTAATTATGGTGGCCTCTAGTGCATTTAATTTTATTTCAACGTTGTGATATATGTGCTCTTGGATAGATGAAATACGGGAGGTATTTTTTGCCAAATGGTTTACAAAATGTGTATTCTGAATACTTTCAGTCAAAGCCAGCTCTGAAGTTACAGCAGTAATAAGTCCAATGGCTCAGAGAGGCTGACTTAACTGATTTTTAATAAGTCCCAGAATAATAAGTCCAATGGCTTATTTAATAATTTTTAATAACTCCCAGAATAACAAGTCCCATGGTTTGGTGAGGCCAACTTAATTGATTTTTTATCTCCTCCAAGACTTGCATGCCTGAGCTACTATACCAATGACCTGTTATGTTTGTTGGCACCATTATAAATGTGGGTCAGTATAGTATCAGCATGTCTTGTTTCTGATTAAAAAAAGAAAGACAAAAGGTGAGGTTACATGATACACAATTTACAATATAAAGTCCCTCTGCATATAAGATACTGACTGATCCTGTTAACAGTATATAGGGGGCCTGAACACAGGAATAATTGTAATGAGAGGTTTATCCCACCACTTCTCCCCGCCCCCATCAAGATCTTTTATGCTTTTACTGATTTGATTGATCTTTCAGAAGGCAGCCAATCTCCATAACACTCTGCTGATGCCCATTGAAAGTTACAATCACAGAGGCTGATAACTTTCCTCTTCAAGTGTAAAACAAGCTCCAAGGCCTTTACTGCCCCTCCCTTGAAAGGCTTGCTGCTTTGCAGTAACCAGTGTCACTCCCTGCACTTAAGAGGGTCCAATGTACTCAGCATAAAGCCAGATCATTTCTTGTAAATTAGCCTTCTTCTTGTGAGGCCAAAGGGCCTCCTTACAATACTTATTAGCATTTTCAACAGCCAATTGTTTCACTATCAGCTGTCTGGCCTGGGAATACTAGATAGTCCTTACCACTGCTTGTAACAAATGAGCTATGAACTCCTGAGAAGGCTCTTTAGGACCTTGCCTAATGCTACATATGTCCAAAGATCTTTATCTCTTTGTGGGTAGTTCCTTCCAAGCCCTTTGTGCAGCTAGATTGATCTGCTGATATGTCTGAACAGTAAAACATAGCTGTTGGGCCATTGCTGCATAATCTCCAGTTCCCACTACCATATGCAAGGTATTGGGAACATTATGGTTTCAATTCCTTTCTGCTTGCTCAACACTAATCTCATGCCAGATTGCTTTCCACATAAAATAATCTCCTGGTGAAAAGCAGGCTGTAGATATGGTCTGCCAGTCTGATGGACATAGGACCTCAATTGCAATTGTGTCTTACAGACTTAAAGTAAAAGGGACAGTAGGTCCATACATAGAAACGGTTGATTTGAGTTCTTTTCGGGTTTTGAAAGGGATGATCTGATGCTCTTGGAGCACTTGACCCAGGTTCTGAGGATCAGGCCTCTGTAGGACCAGATAGACTCCTTGTTGAAAACCCATCATATCCTTCCCTGCCATTCTTGCTTCTCTCAAGGTTTTTGGAACTGGAGACAAAGCAGGCAGAGCACAAGAAATCCACTCCCTTGCTTTTGGCATTAAGTCTGTAATCACTTTCGGTTTTGTGCTGGCAGCAGTAGCTTCAGCTAATGAAAGCACAGTTAATTGAAGTGCACATATCTCTGATTCTTTCTCCCAATCTGAATTGGAACCTTCTGCTACTGGATCCCCCTGTTCATTTAAGGAATCGTCCTGGGGACAAGTGGAGCCTCCCTGTTCTCCCAACTCCTCCTTCTGCTGCACCAGTGGCTCCAGTGAATGCAGCCCCTCAAATACCTGCACTGTCCACTGCAAATGCTCTGTGAGCTCAGGCTGGGAAGTATAGGCTGCTCTCTCAGAGTCAGGCTGGGGGCCTAAGCTTTCATGCACAAGTGTCCAAAGAGAAAGTGCAAAGAGTGCTATCTTATTAGGCCCTTCAGTAGTATATTGAGCACGTATCTGCTTCCTGACCTTCTTCCAGGTATCCATATTTACAGTCCCTTCCTCTGGGAACCAGGGACAGGTTTCCTGTACACAATCTAAAAAGTGAGCAAGCTGAACACTTTTAATAGGAATTCCTCTGGTCCTCAATAGGGCTTTAATATCTACAAAATATCTACAAACAACTGGTGGTCCTTTGACCCCGAATGTCCCATGTTTTATACCTGGTTCTAAACTCGCTCCATACCTTATCTGACTGTGAGCACCTGGAGTGTCTCTGGTTTAGAAGTTACACTGTACTCAAGGCCCACGTTAGGTGTCAACTGTCAACTGTCATGTCCAACAACTGGCTATACTCCATAACCTGCATGGTGAAATTAAACCCGAGTAGGGAGTCCTGGTGTGGCACTATGGGTTAATGCACCAGACTGCAAATCCATTTGAACTGCAACGTCAGTGGTTCAAGCTCACCAGCTGCTCCTCAGAAACCCTATACAGGGTAGCTAAGGGTCAGAATTGACTTGACAGCACTTAACAACAACAACAACAAGGGGTGACTGGAGATTAGAAATAAAAAGCAAGACACAAATGAAAATAGTAAAGTTGGGACCAGGTAGGACACAGCACTCTGACCTCTGACGGAGATCCTGTGACACAGACCTAGTACTGTGAGTTTATTATATACACATATCAAAAGGAAGTGCTGGGGGCAGGGAAAAGAATGCAAAAAACATCTGGTGTTGCTGATGCATGCAATAAGTGGGACTTTATCAAAAGAATGTAACTTGTGGTTGCTAAGGAGACAGAGATAGAGTAGCTAGATGTTTTTGCAGACATGATCTGAAGGTCATACAAGAAAAAAATTCCTTGCAAGTTCCCTGTCCCCCAAGGCAATCTGGAAAATTCCTTAGGGGCAACTTGACCGGGGAGCAGCCCCCCGATTTTCTGGACCACAACTGTTTAGTTTTAATCCTTCGATTAAACAACCCCCAAGTCTGAGGCCTTCAGCTCTAATCACTCCCAACAATTGGTGTTTTTTTCTTACTTTATTATATTGCAGACAAAGACAGCATGAAATATTGGTTAAGACTTTCCCTCAATAAGAATATAGTCTTTGATATATATATATATATACATATACACATATATATTAGCTTAATTAAGGTTTAATTACACACACTCATTTTTGGTATGCAGTTCTAATGGTTTACACAAATGAATAAAGCTATGTGATCAACACCAGAATCTAGAAATAGAATCTTTTCATCATCCTAAATACTTTTAAATATTATTTTTCAATCTATATTTCCAACCAAAAAAATATTACCTTTTTTTTTTAATAGTAACACAGCAGTGTACATAATATGTGCTATTTTCTAAAGTAGTTTTGTTAATATTTGATCCAGCTGAGTATTGTAAACTATCAATTGGTTATTATCATCTGTTATATATGTTAGAGTATGCAAATATTCGTAACCTTGGATGTTGAAATCACTTTGAGATCTATTAAATGTGCTGAAAGCCAAGTGGGACACTGTTTCATCAGGATGTGTTGTATCAGGACCCAGTTATCAGAGATCTAATACTTTCTAGATAATTCCAATATGTAGCCAAGGTTGACATGCTGTGAGTTAGACAGATTTTCTCAATTTAGGCTGTACAGTGAAAGTACTGTTGCCTTGCCCCAACTGATTTATATAACTTTCTAATGAAAGTTGAGTACAAGATAAATATAGGATTCAGGTAACATATACTTCTGAATAGTTAGACTCCAGTTAATAAATTTTTAGTATACTTCTGTGTATGTGGGGTATTCTATAAATGTTGAATGGAGGCCCTAATCTCACAGCCACATTACTGAGAATAAAATATATTTACTTTTAGAAATAAACTGTGAATTTGAAATAATTATTTGCGTAAACTATCAGTTTCTGAAACTTGTCCTTTTAGGTAATTTACCTTAAATGGCAAGCCTTGTATTTCAAGAGGATACTATTCTTCAACTATATTTTTCATCATAATATTAGATCCATATTTATTTCTCAATTCTCTCCAAGGAAACAGACAGTAAACAAGATTAAGAGACAGGGTATGATTTAAACCAATCTCCCACTTAGAAACATAAATGATGTTATTATACTGCTGGGCTTTTAACATACTGTTACTTTATAAACTATAGTAATAATACTTTCCAACCTTTACAATGGCACAATATATTCAGAAAGGGCACCTAATGCCAGTACTTGGAGCATAAATGAAATAAGTGTCTAGTGGAATGGATTTGGATGATATCTAGTAGCTGGAACAGAAATGAAATAAGTGTCTAATAGAACACATATGAACTAGCAACATGTTTATACTTAGCTTTTTTTTTTTTTTAGATTTCAGGAATTAGTAATTTTAGTAATTAAAATAACAAGACTTTTGTTATTGATGATCACTTAAAGAAGAAATGCTAATTAAACAAAACTTGTGAGCATTGTTGTTATAGACAATCAGTATTCTTTATCATTCAAGATACGCTGAAAGCTTAACTCTGTATTTAATCTCTCAAATAGAGGTTAATTTGTCAAGCAGTATTGTTCTTAAATACATTTAAGTAAATTTAAAATAGAAATCTTATTTAATTCAATCTTCTTATTCTTAATTGTTCTATTCCTTTTTTCTTTTTAGGACCACCTCAGAAAATAGTGTCTCCAAAACAAGAACATGAAGATAGAAAGCAGGAAAAAGTTACAGATAAAGGAAGTGAAAGTGGGACTTCCTGTAATGAGCTCTCTACTTCCAGTTGTGACAGCCATTCAGAAGTGAGCACTCCACAGGACAACCCATCCAATGCCCAGCAGGTGACAGCTCACCAACCCAATACCTTAACATTGGATCGTCCCTCCAAAAAAGCACCTGTGCAATGGATGCCACCGCCAGACAAACGCAGAAACAGTGAACTCTTTCAGACACTCATCAGCAAATCTCGGGAAACAAATCTTTCTAAGAAGAAAGTCGGTGAGAAGCTAAGTGTGGAAGAAGAAATGAAAAAGTGTATTCAGGATTTTAAAAAAATCCATATTCCAGATTATTTTCCAGAGCGCAAACGTCAGTGGCAGTCTGAACTGTTACAAAAGTATGGGTTATAGTAATCATCTTAGTCTTTGCAGTATTTCAATGACATTCAGTGTTTACTATAGTGTCACCACCTGACTGATGTCCTTAAAACGGTCAGTGTGATTCTTGCTGCTCTTCCTATTTGTGAACAGTGGATGTGGGACAATGTTTTATTTAGTTATTATTTTGTTGTTGTTTTTAGAAATATAATAAAAAGAAAAAAAAAAACTGACACTGATAGTAGTTGAATCAAAATGGTTTGTCTTATTCAAAACATTTTGCAAGACTGAAAGTAAAATGAGCATGGTCAAGAATCTTAGAATCTTGATTTTTGAACTGTGATCAGCTGAATATGTTTGCCATTTTGTCACTCACCTAAGAAAAATCATCCTGTTACATCAACTAAAATGACAATATGGATGAAGCAACATAAAGTAAAATTTTAGATGGTGGTTTGAGACCCAAATCACAAATATTTAAATGTTAATGCAATAAAACAAGTATTATTTTTGCATGAGCACAATGTTACAAGTAAATCACATGAAATAAGGAAGATCTGTTTGTTGCTTGGAAAGAAAATACTATTACAAAAAATAAAGCAAAAAAACAATTTTTTTTTTTCAGGCAAAGCTTGTAAATGTTAAGAGTCTAGAGGTCTGGATTTCCTTTGTTTGGGAACTGTGATTTTTTGTGTATGTGTATGGTGTTCTGTATGTTAAGGTGGTGTAAATATGCGTTATATTGTTGTGTTATGGCACTGACATTTCTCTATTAATGCTAGTCATGAATATTTCGTGAAATGAGTCTTTACATCAGGCTATTAAAATTGGTATAATGATGCTCTGAAAGAACGTACTATTATGTTAATCAAAATTATAGAAGGAAAATGGTAAAGAGCTTTATGTATTAAAAAAGGAAAATACATTATAATTCCTTGATTTTTATTGACTCTTATTTAGTAAGATTCAATTGTTATAGAGTCTTAAATTTTCCTCTAAAACCTTAAACTGAAAAAGGATCCATCCTACTTGATTTTGACAAGTTACACTTTAAGCATAATTTAAATGGAGAGAGATTCAGATCCAGATACCTTGGCATTTATTAATAAACTTTTATCCCACAAGAAGCAAAGACCTCATCTCAGAATACATCAAATTTTATTTTAGCGTACAAACAGACTGACAGCCTCTTCAAATATAACTGGGAAATTATCTCTTACATATCAAGGGATAAAAAACTAATAACAAGTTAAAATGTCAGCCTGGATTAAAAGTGACTTCTTTTTAGTTGTGTATGTGGAAATAAACTTAGTTATCATAAGTTATCCATGTCTTGCCTAATCACATCCACAGAAATAAATATACGATTTCCTGAATTTATGCTAAATTTAGACTTGGAGAGTGTAAAAATATCTTAAAGTATTATAGAGCTAAATCTTTTCTATGGTTAGTTAACATAGAAGTTGATACTCTTGATATCATTATTTTAAAATAATACAGAGAGATAAGCATTATGAACTCAAGATTAAATTTCATGCATTCAATTTTAATGTGCTTTTATATGTTTAACCTACCATTAGATAAAATATCATATACAGTGGGATGTTAAAATGTTGCGTCATTGTAGCACAAGCACTGGACCACTAACCACAAGTTCAGTGGTTTAAGCCCACTCACCACTTTTTGGAAACCCTATAGATCACCACCAAGAACATATACATAAATTATCTTGATTAAGGTTTTAGGGTGAAAACTACTGTCAATTATGTACTTCTGCCTTTCAAAAAATTCTGTTAAGAGAATTAAACAATAAGCATCAGATTGAAAGACAATGTTGGCAGATTTCATATCCATAAAGGACTATTTGTTATTGTTGTTACTTGTCATTGAATGGATTCCGACTCATAGCAACCCTGTCAGGGTTTCCAAAGAGCAGCTGGTGGGTTTGAATCACCAACCTTGTGATTCACAGTCCATAGAGGGGAGGGCAATGTTCAAGAAGTGTCACAGCAGGAGTCCTGGATTAATAGCTATGCATAAAAATTTCTCACGATTCACACACACAAACACACACAAAATTTGACAGCACAAAATCCAATCAGAAAATGGGCATTTAAAAAAAAAAAAAAAGGTAAAATATTGCCAATAGTTGCAAGAAAAGATAATCAACATCATCTGCCACCAGAGAAAAATAAATTAAAAGTACAATGATATCATTACACATCTATAGAATAACTAAAATAAAAATTAGTGATTATACTAAATACTGGCAAGGATGTGAAGAAAATAGATCACTCATGAAAAAAAAAAAAAAAAAAAAGGCAACTTCTTCAAAAAGGAAAGTATGCACTATAGGACACAATCTTTGTCCCCTTCGACATTTATCTCAAAGGAATAAAAACTTAAAACTTAAATGTTTATAGCAGCTTCATTTGTAATAGCCAAAAACTGGAAACAACTCAGCTACCCCTCAGTAAGTGTATTGTCCATCAATAACATAGAATTGTTGTTGCTGTTCTGTTAAAAAAAAAAAAAAAAAGGAATGGAATTAACGATACACACAGGCATCTGAATGATTTTCAGAGAATTGTTGTTAAGTGCCAATGAGTTAGTTCCAATTCATAGTGACCCTGTATAGAATTTTTGCGACTAAGTGAACAAAAACAACTCCCAAAGTTTACATATTATATGGTTCCAGTTATATAGCTTTCTTGAAATAACAAGAAATTATAGAATAAGAGAATTTCTTTCTGGTTTCTGGGATTTAAAGAGGTAATGAAAAGAAGATTCATATAGAAGAGAAACAAAAGGGAACTTTTTGATGACAGAGATAATCTGTATCTCTTCTTTTTGTTAAGTCCTTTTGAGTCAATTCCAACTCATTGTGACCACAAATGAGAGAGTAAAATTCCCCATAGAGTTTTCTGGACTGTACAATTTACAAAAGTAAATTGTCTAGTCTTTACATTATGCAGCTTCCAAGAGGATTCCAACTGCCAACATTGCAGTTAACATCCAAGGGCCACCTTTTGTGCCAGTGGGACATCTATTATTCCATATAGAGATTGTGTCAATACAAATATCTACTTTGCAAAGTTGTACTATAGTTATGCAAACTGTTTTCATTGTGGTAACTGGGTAAAGAATATTTTAAAGTATTCTTAACTTATACTATATTAAATATGCTATTGTTGTTGTTAAGTTCAGTCCAGTCAGTTTTGACTCATAGCAACCCTAGGTCTAGGGTATCCTAGGAGTGGCTGGTGAGTTTGAAGCATTGATCTTGCCATTCAAATCGACCTTGAGGTCCAGTGCTTCCCTGACAGTGCTACAGTGTCACTATGGGATATATATATATATGGAGCT